ATTATTTATGGCATCAGGAAATAGAAGTGGACACTCTAGTCTGTCTCCAGGAAAGTCATCATTAGAGGCCACTTTGGAGAATTGGGCTGTGTTAAAACCAGTGTGATCACACCCAAGACCCTGCTACTTTCTCAGTGTTTTGTGAGAAGGAAATAAGACAAAGCATTTAAAAATATTTTTTCATGTTCTTTGGAAAACCAATGTACCTTACATGTATGTCTCACATGTAGAGCCAGATGATGGTATTGAAAATAGTATATATGTTTTATATTTTATATATAAAATATTTTGCGTATATTTCATAAGTGTTTTATATATTTTATATATAATATTATAAAGGTAAATATATAAAACATATAAACATAATATATAAATATATATTTATACACTTATGTAAATATTTCCATTAAATATGTTTCTATATTTAAATATATATTTATTCATATATATATTTGAATATATATTTATATATAAGTATATAATAATATGTAAAACATACAAAATATAAAATATATCAGTATATTTTATGTTTATATATAATATATACTTTCATATTTTAATATTTTTATACTTTATATATTTAAAATTATATAATATACAAATATTATATATATATATATAAAATTAAGAATACTGTCACCAGAGTACCTAAGGGATTCTGAAAGATACAACTCACTATAGAATTATTTTCATAATCTTGCATCTATACTGTATGTATTTTCTAATCACATCATTTTAACTAGCTCTAAAAAGGCAAGAAAAATGCCTGCTTTGATTCTGTATTTCTTTCCATTTCATGGAAAGTGACAAGATTTTGAGGTGAGACTAGAAATAGAAAATATTACCTTTGGTAACCTGTGAAAATTTAGATTGATTAGGCCATATTATTTCAAAAACAGGCTTGAGACCAAAGTTACCCTGAGGAAGATTTTTTTTTCTGAAGGATGTTAAGTGTTTGTTTCTTCAGCCTCCAATACTAGAACCCAGACCATGGGGCTTTGATAGAGCTATCGTGTGAAGCAGATCATATACAATTGGTGGTCACTGCAGTGACTGGACCCAGATAAAAATTGATAGGATATGATAGTATATCCATAGTATATATGTAGTATATTAAGATGCTCAGAATGACTCTTTCAATCATACAATATCAGGTTAATGCCTGATAGCATGGTCCTATAAAAGCATTTGTTGCTTGCACGGGTTCTCGGGGCACTTGTTGTTTTTCCAAAATGATCTGAGGTCAATTCCTCATCTAAGATCCCTAAGTCATGTACTTCACACCCTGCCGTATTATAATTACATAGGCCATATGCATTTTTATCCAAAATAGTTAAATCCAGCACTGCCATGTATATACTAGGTAGTCAATTTGTGTTTGTTTGCCATTTTCATCATCTAGTATCACTGTCCAGAAATATAATGTGAGCCACATGTGTAATTTAAAATCTTCTCATAGTCACATTTTAAAAAGCAACAAGAGGGTGCCTGGGTGGCTCAGTTGGTTGAGCGACTGCCTTCGGCTCAGGTCATGATCCTGGAGTCCCTGGATCTAGTCCCGCATCGGGGTCCCTGCTTGGCGAGGAGCCTGCTTCTCCCTCTAACCCTCCCCCCTCTCATGTACTCTCTCTCTCTCATTCTCTCATTCTCGCTCTCTCAAATAAATAAATAAAGCTTTAAAAAAATAATAAAATCTTCTCATAGTCACGTTTTAAAAAGCAACAAGAAATACGTTCTAATAATATATTAATTTTAATAATATATTTATTTACCAACAATATCTAAAACATTATTATTTCAACCTCTGGCACAGCCTGCATTTCAAGTGCCCATCAGCCCCAAGTGACTAGTGGCTACCATGTTGGACAGCACAGGTCTAAAGCAGTGCTTCTTAATTTTAAGTTCAGATACACATGGAAATAATATTCGTATAGCCCACTGGAGTGAATGCGTAGGATGGCTCGTAGCCAACAGCAGCTGCCCCCGGGGCTCAGGCTGCATTGTTCCTACTCAATTACCCTGAGTGCTGAGGGCATCTGTAACTCGAACCCTGTAACACTGGTATGCCAGTTGGCAATCTCTGGTCTACAGCAGTGGTTCCCAGCCTCTTCAAGTGATAGACCCATTGAGCCTCCTCCCATGGTAGTGATTGTACTTTTATAACCAATTCCTTTACTATATAGATAGCAGTTAGATACTAGGTAGGCGATAGATCAGATATATATGTTTTATATATATATAATATAAATATATACATAATATAAATGTAACATGTAAATATATATATATACTGTTTATATATGCTATTTACTATTTACTATATATTATATATAGTACACATACTATATATACTTTGTACTGTCTATACTATATATATTATAGCAGATAGATACCAGATAGATGATAGATCAGATATGTATGTTTTATATATAAAATATAATATAAATATATATACAGTATTTATTATATACACCCACTATATATATATATATATACATGATTTGTAAAGAGATATATTATTAAAAGAATACTTTTTTCCTTTTTTTTGCTTTTCACAGTTTCTTTACGTTTTCTCAGTGTATGAGCAGACCTTCCATCACCAGTAAATGAGAACTTAAACAGATCCTGTAACTTTTCAGTTTAAGGCAGTAATCCTCAACAGGGAGCAATTTCCCCTCCACCCCACCCCCCCCAGGAGACATTTGGCAATGTCTAGAGACATTTTTGATTGTCATAATGAGGAGAGGGTCCTACTGGCCTATTGTGAATAGAAGCCTGAAAGGCTTCTCAACATCCTACTCCTTCTGCACAGGACAGCCCCCTATTACGATAAAGAATTGTCTAGCTTAAAATGTCAATGGTGCCAGGATTTAGAACCCTGCTTTAAGGTAATAGAAAATATTATGATCCAGGTAACTGGCAAGTATTATCTCAATTCACTATTTAATAGTACCTAATCCCATGTGATAAACAAGACTCTGACTTAATTTAAAACTAAAATTCCAGGGGTGCCTGGTGGCTCAGTCAGTTAAGCGTCTGCCTTCAGCTCAGGTCATGGTCCCAGGGTCCTGGGATGGAACCCTACATCAGGCTCCCTGCTCAGTGGGGAGCCTGCCTCTTCCTCTCCTCCCCACTCATGCTCTCTCTCGCTGTCTCTGTCTCTGTCTCTCTCAAACAAATAAATTAATTAAATTAAATTAAAACTCTACTCTTCAGCTAGCTGGGAGGAAGGCAAGATGTTTTCCTCTTTCCGTCCTTAGCTTTACACTTTACTCCAAATCCCCATCTTGCTAACATGATTGCAACTACTTTGTGGTCAAAGCTAGGGGCAGGAGGATGCAAAAATGTTCTTATTTGACCGCCATAAGAAGGTTTCTCACACTCTGGGCCAGGTAGACTTTTATAGCAGACGTTTTCCTGGAGGCACTTTTGTGGGTTCTTTGGAGACCCCATAAGGAACATTTGACTTCAAGTCCTCTAATTCAGGCAATTTATTTTCTTCCAGTTGCACGTCTCTCCTGTCTCTCTCTTTTTTTCTTCTGAGATCCTCAGAAGGGGCTAGGATGGTTCATGTCTAGCTCTCATACAATGATAACTTAGCAAATGTTTTATACCCCCTAGCTACTGAGCTCTTGATATTTTTTTTTCGCTTTCCATTCTTTCACCAATACTCCAATAAATAAGAATACCAGATAAAATTCTTATGAGACTGTTCCCATATCCAACCTTGACCTTGGGCAAGTTACTTAACTTCTTTGTCTCAGCTTCTTCATCTCTAAAATGGGTAGAATTATTTTACATACCTCAAAAGATCATTGTGAGTGTTGATCCAACAAATACTGAGTGAACATTTACATTACATGCTAAACAATGTTTGAGGTATTGGGGAGACATTAGTGAACAACATTTAGACAAGTTTACAAAAATCCCTGCCCACAGGGAGCTTACATTGCAGTAGAATTAAGTTAAATCATGTTAGATGCTTAGGAAAGTATCAAGCATGTAGTAAGGTCTCAATATATTTTACATACATTATTGTTAACCCAATTGAATGATTGGTTTATTCTGAAATATGATTTAAGAGGAAAAGAGTCTCTACGTACTTAAGAAAGTGCCCCCAATCCTCTCATTATGTCAACAATTGGGTTAAGACAAGGGAGGGCCCTGTCAAGATCTATTTATCTATAAGAGACAATGAATTCTTACCAGTCACTAATAATAAGATACCTTGAATGTATTTAGACTCAATACTTGATGAAGGTCCAGACCTTAAGTGTTATGTTCATCATGGAATTCACAGCCTTTAGCGTGGAGGCTGATGATCAGTAAACATTCAGCTAATATTTGTTCAGGAATGAATTTGACACACACCTAAGTTTGAAGATAGAGCTTAGGATAGGAAGCTGAGGATAGGGGGCCAGTGAAGACATGGAAAAAGTCTAAGCAAATTTGTTTCGGAATTTCACCTAGAACTGGTGGTAATTTCACATCAATAAGAAAAATAAGAAATATCTGCTTCAGAAAAAGAAATCACTTTGAGTTAACATAAAAAAAGAAGATTGACAAAATTATTTGGGCCAGCAGGATGTTGGAAAATGCCTGAATTACCTACAGGCAGTATAGAATCATAATTAATTGAAATGAACAAGTCTAAGAGTTTTTTCCTTTAATTTAGATGAATTTTTCTTTGACCTTAATTCTGTGTATAGATACAGATAAGTGGAATTATGCAGATAAAGGTTATCATGTTAAATCTGAGCAAATGAAAGTGAAAATAAATTGTGAATGTATAGAACTAACCACATTCTCATTGCACATTCATGTGGCAACGGAGCTAATATTTTCATACAGGCAAATTTTTACTCATACTCTGTGTCTAAACAGAAGGGCTTGAGCTATTAATTCCGGTATTTCCGTAACTACTGCTTTCTATTCGTATTTGAATAAAGTAATAATCATAAAGGAGAAATTTACCAAAATCTTTTTTTTTTAATCTCCAGTGTTCAGACTGCATCATAGTGCTTCCGATACAAGTGACAAAAACCGAGTTAAAAACAGATTAAAGAAGTTTATCACCCGAAGACCTTCCCTGAAAACTCTGCAAGAAAAGGGACTTATTAAAGGTATAGGACGTCTTATACTTTTACTGTAACAGTGATAAATGAATATGCCTCTGTGTCCGTAGCTATTCAGCTCTAAAGAAATATTAGGATATTTTATTCTTTTTAGGTTGCTTATTGAATGTTCTGCTCTACAACAAAGAAAAAAAAAAAAACTGTTGTCCAGAAAACTAATCCTGAGAAAATAAAGTTTGTAGCACAGTATCATTGAAAACAATACCTAGTTTTGCCTTCAGTGGAGCTGGGCTCTGCCCAAGGAGCAGAGGAAGGTATCCTAGTGGCCCATTAGAATGAACCCATGTCACCATGTGCCTGGACAATACAGGTGCACACCTATTGTCCCAACATGCTTAATAACAGCAGCCCTTTTCACTCTCAGATGTGGCCTGATTTGGATAATAAGTTACCTGATCACCTTAGTCATAGTCTGAAGTGAGTGCAAGGAAGAAAGTCCAAGATAAACTAGTGTCATGAAAATTTATGGATTTGGGAACTGGGGAACTAAAAGCTCAATCTAACTTGAAATAAGTAGGTACTTTTGCAAATGTATCTAAAGTAAAGAACAAAATATTCTAGACTACCCTAGTCACCACAATAGAAAAACATAGACTCTGGCACTAAGACTAATCAGAATTCAGACCTTGGTTCTACCACTCACTCATGTTGACATTGAACAAGTTATGACCTCTCTGAAGATCAGATATCTCATCTGTTAAATGGGGATACTTATACCCACCACTGAGAGGGCCATTGAGAGAAACATGAGATAATCCATGTAAAGCATTTAATAGAGTTTCTGGAACATAAGTATTCAATAAATGTTCTCTGCTCTTAATGCTATTATTATTCACTACCGCCATTTCTCTTATGGCGCCAAGGGGATGAGAAAGAATGAATGGATACATAGAACCCGTGATAAAGTAGATTTCTATAACTGGAAATCACTTATAAATCACAGAGGTAAAATGTATTATTTTCCTAACAAGAAACCATATGCATCAAGTCCATTGTTTCCCCCCCACCTTTTTTTAAATTTTCTAGCAGATAGATATATTTTGAAAAGTGAATATAAGAAGAAATTTGAAAATGGGCTAAGATACCCTTCTAAGATTAATTCTGAGAACAAAACTGGAAGATTGATCCTTATGGGAGTCAAAAGGTTATTTAATACCCAGTCATTTCTCAGGAACAGGGCAAAACAGATCTTAATATTTTCAGCAATACTTAGCATAAGAATTATTTAGATGGGTTATAATAACTGTCTGACCTACCCATTTCAGTCCATTTTTAAGCAGGAGAAGTTACAACAAGAATCATCTGGCATTTTGAACCAATTGTGGAAGGTGAAGTTTTATGAAGCATGAACATACATATCACTAATGAAGTGGAAAATTCTTAGAATGTAAACATTTGGGGGTCGAACTAGCACTTGCTTTGAATCAGGCTTTCCTCAGACTTTTACACTGAAGATGTCCTTTCCAGGGCCACTGACAGTATTGGATCCTCTAGAGATTCAACTTCATATAATAAGATACCAATACCTTCAGTTCTGTCTGAGAATGCACCCCATCGGTTATCATTTTCTTTGAGAGGATTCTGTTGCAGGTTATCTGCCACTTTGGAAAAAATAGAAAACCAAATTAGTAGCCCAAACAATCCCAATTTGACATAAAGTCCAAATTTTTCATGACTGTGGCAAAATGAAAAGGGTTTTAATTCAGTGGCCTGGTCTGGCCCCAGTCAAAATGCTAAAGAATTCGCAACTACAGTGCTCCAGCAGTGGTCTCAGAAAGCAGCAGAGGGCCTGGATGCCTCATGCAGTTTTCATACCAACGTCATGGAACCACTGAACACACTCCGATGTGTATATTTCCTATCTTAGAGCTCCATTAAATTTCCACCATAGCTGACCAATGAGTCAGTATTCATTAGCAGGGCTATGGAAAATCTATGTGAAATTCTGATTTGATAAGCTTCCATTGTTGTCTTCAGTGGAATTTTCTTCCAAATACAGATCAAGTTATGCAAATATAATCACTTCTTGGGCTTGTTTCAGTTTTAACTGAATTTTTAAAAAGCATTTACTGATTTTTTTTTCTCTTCACTGAGTAAAAAGCATTAAAACAATTTTTAAAAATATAAGCCCAGTCAAATTTAGAACTTTAAGTCTATTTTCTCAGCATACTTAAGTCAAAGACTTCGAAAAAGCAATGAAATCGGTGTTTTTGATCAGTTATGAAAAATTATATAAAATCAATGAAAGATTAATGGTTAAATGGTTTCTCCAAGTGAAATGACTTAACTCTTTCAAGAAGAATTACTCAGAAAGAGAGAGAACAGTCTTTAAAATTGTCCTCAGGGTACCTGCCCACAAGAATATATACCAAATTCTTTCAACTGTCTTTTCTGCTAGATTTGGAATAAAGTCCTTCACAACAAGGTTTCGGAAAGCTGGGGTGACAGTTGGTGTCTTAAAAGTGTGCTTCCTGTACCTCTGAAACAAATAATACATTATATGTTAAAAAAAAAAAAAAAGAAAATAGTAGGAAGGGAAAAATGAAGGGGGGGAAATCGGAGGAGGAGACGAACCATAAGAGACTATGGACTCCAGGAAACAAACTGAAGGTTCTAGAAGGGAGGGGATGGGGGAGGGGCTAGCCTGGTGATGGGTATTAAAGAGGGCACGTATTGAATGGAGCGCTGGGTGTTATACGCAAACAACGAATCATGGAACACTACATCAAAAAAAATAAATTAATAAAAAAAAAAAGTGTGCTTCCTGACACCTGGGAGGGACTCTGCAGGGCCATAGCCCCCTTTCAAACAGTTTCTTACTCCTTTATGTAATGTTGCCAACAGGTTGAGAGGCCTGAGCTTTGAATTCAGCCAGCCTTTGGAGCAGGAAGAGCTGTGCCTTCTTGACTTTATAATGCCCAGCAGAACAATATCCACAAAGCACTTTATGCGAAAAGAGAATTGTCCCGATACCACACTGTCTGGACTCAGACACAAACCCTTCCTTCAATATCTGTTTTTTGGACTCATGGAGACCTGGCCAATATGTGTTTTCATTGGCTGGAAGCTAGATCTGGAAACAGTCCCTTGATGGCACTGCATCTTCTACTTTCTTTAATATGACTAATGAGAAGGGTACATTATAATGTCAAAAAAGGCCCAGCCGATAGTTATGGATGATCACTCAATGGAAAGAAATCTTAATAGCTCAGGTGTGTGTAGGGTTCATTGCACCATGGCAGTGGTGGCTTCTGAAAAGCCTGCAATTTCTCCAGGTGCTTTCACATTTGCCAAGGGAGTGGCAAGTGCCTTTTAAATGTGTGAGTTTATTGCATTGAGCATCTCATCAGAAATAAAACTTGAATCTGTTGAATATGTAAATGATAGGCAAGAGGGTACATTTTAGGGTGGTAGGTGTGTTTGTACATATTTTCTGCTTGGTTTTGGAACTGAAGTAACAGCTCGTTATAAAGTGTCAGCCAAACTACTTTATATAATCTTTCAAATAACAGCACTGACATCCAAGAATAGAAAACACTCGGCAATGCAATTTCTAGAAAGGATAACAATTGTTTTTTTTTTTTAGGAGCAACTAGTTATTTCCTTATATAAAAATGATAGAATTAGAGAGGATTGTGTTTAGAAAGTAGTTTCTTTCATCTTCATGTGGATAAAACCATAATGGATGGTATTAGTAGAAATTGAAAGTAATGCTGTACTACTTTATTTTGTAATCACTATATTATAAAGGAAACAACCTGTTTAAAGACTCAATATTATGCTTCCAGGATTTAGGATGAAAAGCAGGGCTTTCCTGCCTCATCCCAGTTTTGCTCCTTATGGGGCACCACTTGGCACCATTTCTATTTGTAGAATAGTAGTTCTGGTGGTTGACTCCATAACTTATGTTACTATTATTTGGGGTAGAGGTCAGTTAGTTTTTGTCAATATCTTCCTTATCTTTAAAGTCATAACGTCTTGACTTATCAAGCTTAGATGTTATCTCAGATTTCTTTTACGATGGACATGAATTTGACTTGATTAAACCAGACCTCACTTACCTGGCCCTATTCCTCCCCAAATACTCACAGTCAAATAGAGCAGGTCTTGCTCTTTTCAATGGCTTTCTCTGGAACATCCAATGTACTTAAATCTCTATTTACTGTTCTAGTAACCATGGAAAACTGAGACTTAGTGTCTGCATTGAGGAGACAAGAAAGACAAGAAGTTTAGTGTCCTTTCCCCTCTCATCTCCTCTGCCTTTGCTATTGTAATTCTTACTTCTACATCATAAAAAACTCATTATTTCACAGATTTCTATAATTATGACTCATTTATAGGTTGATTCTAAAAGTTAAAAACCAAAACCAGCGATCGTACAATTACAATTATATAAGATTGCTTACTGCAGCTCCAAGTACTAGACTTTGTTCTCTGTTCTTATAATATGACCTCTGTGATCTGTAAAGAGGAATCCCCCTTGATCATGATGAAAAAGACTCTCTTTTTTTTTATATTTGAAGGTAGCTTTGGTATATTTATGCTGTTTCACCATCACAATCAGGTCCTTCATTTTCTCCCCACATTTTGGTTCTAAATGTGAAGAAAATCAGGCAGCTGCATTTACTTTATATTGATCATGTAAATATTATGGAATCGCTGACCAAGTCACGTGCCAGATTTGGATTAACATATCCATGGGTTCAATGTTATGACTTAATGGGCCACACAACTTACAATGTTCTTATTTTTTTAAGTTTTTATTTTAATTTCAGTTAGTTAACATGCAGTGTTATATTAGTTTCAGGTGTACAATATAGAAATTCAGCCCTTCCATACATCGCCCTGTCCTCATCACAAGTGCCCTCGTTAATCCCCATTACCTATTTCACCCATCCCTCCACCCTCTGGTAACCATCAGTTTGTTCTCTATAGGTAAGAATCTATTTCTTGCTTTGTCTCTCTTTCTCTCTCTCTTTATAATATTC